AATAATGGAGTCCATTATTAACAGCCAGCTCATGCAGTACCTTGAGGAGCACCAGCTGATTAGTGGCTGCCAGTACGGTTTCCGTCTGGGTCGCTCAGCTGGTCGTCTTGTTTATCTAACACACCGATGGTTGCAAGGGATCGAGTTCAACGGGGAGTTTTGGTGGTTAGTTTGGACATAGCGACCTTCGATCGGGTTTGGCACAAAGCGCTTCTCTCAAAGCTTTCTTCCTATGGGCTTAGCGAAAAATTGTGCAATTGGATCACCGGTTTTCTGGCTGATCGGAGCCCGAAAGGGGTCAAATGAGCATGCGGCTCACCTGATGGTAAGTGGCTACCGCCGCCCATGAACAACTACAACACCAGGGGAATTGCAGATGCATTGCCGGCCTTTTAAAAAAGAGTAGGCTCTTTCTTGAAGGTCCCTAAGTCGTATCGGTCTGGAAAAATCGTTGGTAGTTGTCGATTCCACAAGGAAGCTGTGCGAGAAAGAAAACTTCTTGTCTATCACACAGTGGTGGACCGCCAATCATCCAGATTATGTGGATGGTACCGCGAGTTCTGTCGCGATGTGAAATTGAGCGGCTGGAATCAGTCCGAACAATTCCTCTAAGCACTCCATATTTTTTCACACTCCATAATTATGGAGTGTGAAAAAAATATATAGAGGAATTCCTCTGAGTCAAGCCGATAGGAAAGAGCTCGGTCGCCGACGATTCTAACGACTCTGCGTTAGATGCAATTAAATGGAAGGAGCTGGCACTGGGAAGCCCCGACCCAGAGATGGAAACAGTATTCCATGTGAGACCGAACCTGCGCCTAGTAAAGTTGCTGGTGATGTGCCGGCATGAAATACTGTCCCGCTCTGTTGAGCATACCAAGTTTGCTAGAGGCCAATTACAACACCCGCAGGACAATATGTGGTAAAATCGTTTCAGATGCACATATTATGTATATAAGTATGGGGAATACCCCAAAGTACAAATACTTATAACTTCAATTCGAATTAACTTTAACTTTGATTTCAGACTTTAGTTAACTTGTTCTAACATGAACCGATAGCTAGTCTTTGTATTATTTTATTGAAAATTAGTTTCCTATTTATATATTATATATAATATTATATTATAACTTTATGTTATTAAAAATTATTTTGCTATAACAGATGCAGTAAGGTGAACGCTGCAGCTGTAGTTATGGATTCCATTGTGTTGCCGACGAAAAAGCTGCAATCCAGCAACAGTGAGCGATGAATCATAAAAAACAAATTTCTACTCAATTTGTAGAAATTTTTAGTTATTAGAAGAATTAAGTTGCAACATTATGTTAATGTTGTGTTCACATTCGCGTCTATTTTTTGTATTCTTAATTTAAAAAAGTTGCAACCTCTATACGTCGCACGGCTAGGCACAGGTCTTGTGTAATTTAAAAATAATTGTACGTGGTAGAGCCGCGATGCAACTATTTAAAGCTGTAGCATGAATGGGTCGGCTCGACAAAGGTCCACGCTTCTACAAAATACCAGCATGAAAAAACAGCTTAATGCCACAAAGCACGATCCTGAGCCACCTGCATCCATCGACTTCCTGCATGTCTTACCAGATCGTCACTCCATCTAGTAGGGGGTCGCCCTACACTTAGCCTGCCGGTACGAGGCTGCCACTTGAAAAACCTTTCTCCCCATCGGTTGTCGGTTTTTAGAGCTGTACGGCAGTATCATTACTGCTACAGCATACTGATCCATTATTATATAATTCTATTCATCATCAGCGATCAATTTCGTGCGTTTTCTCATTTCCCCTGTGCCTGACTGCATCGTTGGTCGCAAGTACAGTTACTAATCCTCATGATTAGTAATTGTGCTTGCGACCTAGGATCCTGGGTTCCAACCCCTGATCGAGTCATAGTATTGATTTTTCTGTCAAGAAATTCTCAGTTACAGCCCCAAGAGAAGTAGACTCAGGAAGTAGGTAGTGTTTCACTCCCGTACTTGTGAAAATACGTAAAGCTGGTCATGCGCCTAATCTCTCTCTGGTCGTGTCGGCTTACCGTCCCATCGCACTATGAGAGTGAGGCTATAGAGAGTGCACCTGTGCTTGTGCATGCACTTATGCATTACATTAAAGACCTGCGCAGATGGCTGGTCTCTTTTTTCCTGGTGATTTTTCCTGTTAATTAATCTCCGTTAACAAACTATAGCACATATATTAAAGACTATTTGAGCAAAATGTAACACGAATGTGGGCATACTATTTAATATAATTTAACTAGTTCATTGTTTTAATACAAGACCCTACCTAGTATTGTTGAAAAGATTTTTTTTAACTGTAAGTAAATGTACTTTAAACGTATGTTGCAATGTACAAACTTTATGATAATATTTTTATTATTTTTTATTCTGTTTAAATTTTGGCAGAAGATTTTCTGTACTATCAATATGGCAACAAATTGCCTATGAGCCATTTTTAAAATGGCGCTTATAACCTTTCAAAATCTTTGCCAATACGTTTCTTTTTTATTTTGTACCTATGTAGTTTTCTAGATTTAAGAAAATTAAAAAAAAAACATTCATTTAATACAGTTTATTGAAAGTTATTTATAGGTTAACTCATGGAGGCGTTACCGTTACCATAACAGCCTATGAAAAACCACTACTGAACATATCACCCCCCCCCCAATGGTGGGCCTATTGGTTCATAGGGGGGATGTTTGGCATAGTTGTCACGCTTGGCAACCGTATATTTTAGTTTTTAGTCATTATTAGAATGACGCTGCGGCCCTACTCCTGATTTGTTTTCTTTGTGGCCTCTTACGACAACCACGGGATGATATGGGATAGTGGATATTCTTATAACGCCACTACATGATGTAAAAACAACCGCATAGGGATTGACAACCGGAATTTTTATTCTTTTCAACTATCAGAATGATGCTGTTTTTTTTAAGGGTCTATAGTAATTCTAAATTTTACGTGACTGTTACATAGACAATATTTTATTTTTATTATAATAATACTTTAGTTGTAATTTTTTATTTCTTAACAGATCAAGACTAAGAAGCTAATTATGAAGCTCTATATTATTAATATATATATATATATATATATATATATATATATATTATATATACATATATATGCATATTTACTTTAGCTTTTTACTATAGACTTTTATTTAAGACGAAATATTTAAACCAAAGTTAATGTCGCATTAGGAACGAGATAAGTGGTTTTTGGCGGGAACTTGAACCTTGACCAGTTTGCAGTGCCACCAACGCGACTCTGTCAACTGAACAGTAGAGTTGGTGGCACTATATTTTAATGTACTTCTCGTGTATTGAAAAAAAAATAAGTCAAGTGTTAGGTAAGTTAAGTGTTATGCAAATTTAAATATTTTAAATACTTTCATAAGTGATGAATGGAAAAATGATAATATTTTGAACGAATTAGCTTCCTTAAAGGGTCTTTAAGGATTAATGTATTGATTACTTTTTAAAATCTCCTTGTTTGAACATAAGACAAAATTGCAGCATAGAGTAAAGTAAGCAATTTTTTTCGTTTTAGCAAAAAGGTCTGTAGCAAATGCCACAATAAATACCAAAACAAAGATTTTAAAATCTGATTTGGTATTTTACTCATAAAGTATATTTTTGCTTCAAGACTAATTTATGAAAATAGGGTAATAGTTCGCAATCGTTCCATATCATAGACCAACTGTATTTATATTGTATAATTTCATTGACTTATATTATTACTAGCGTAACTTATTGCATATATAATTTAGATTAGATCATAAATTAAAGTCTATGGTAAATTACAGTTTTATGTTTTTAGTATGTTTATGTAACGTATTAATATAAGAAAGGGTGTCGAAACCGTTTTTGTTTTAGACTGATTTATTAAATTTCTAAACAAAAATATTGTTTTTATTTACTTTAGAAATACTTACAATAATATATGAAATACATCACGATGACGTCATTACCGTGCCAGTGTCACATGTACTCGCGTCAAAAAAGTATATATTAGCATGTAACAAAAACCCTGTGGTTCCTATCGTTATCAGAATGAGTATTCAAACGTATAAAACAAATATATATAAACTAATAACTTTATTTCAAAAAACTCGAACATAATGCTTCAAAAAAATCAAATCAAATTTAGCCTTAGAAAAAATTTACTTCATTTCTTACAACCGCGCGCTGGCAGTTTGACGGGTTGGCAACCACAGATATTAATTGTTATGGGTTATGAGGGACATGCTGCTGTTCATCACGTGGTTTAATAGTTACCCTCTGTTTCCTCTTACGATACCCATGGGATGATATAAGCTTCATAGCACCAGTTCCATTTCTAGCACATTAAACTAACCACACCTACTTTAGGATTCTACATTAACTTTAACATAATAAATAAAATTATTTTGTTGTAGGGATGTTCGATAATTATCGATGTTAAATATTAAATCATCTATGTTTAAGCATCGATGTTGTCACACGTCTAACATCGAAACATCGATTTCAATGAACCCATAATCGATTATTGGAAGGTTATTTTCAAAAGCAGGCTCAACTCTTTATCAACAGAGAATCAGATTGAAAGGTACTTCTTTGTCAAAATTACCATCTCTTCAATGAATTCCAAAAATATTAGACTGTATAACAAATGCAGTAGATATTTGATAGGTTCTTCCAATTGTTTTTAATGACTGTTTTAAACAAAGTACATTGTTCCTTAATTTCTATTATTTCATTAATAATATACCGTGAATAACATGTTTATTTTTTATTCATCTAATTCTAACCTATTAAATACATATGCAAAAAACATCGATAATTTTCAACATCGATGTTTTGAGTGGGTAAACATCGAACATCGATGTTGAAATATCGATGTTTCTGCAACAGAAATCAGCAGACAGCATCCCTAGTTTGTTTTTTGTGTCAAGGGACGAACGTTAAAATAAAAAACGCCTTTAATTGATTACAGTTTTATTTACTGAATCAAACTCTCCCAATGTATGCTCTCAATACAGCCAACAGATTGGAAACTATAGCATTCGATATTTTCAATCGATCATAAACATTGAGGATTTGTCTCTCGTCCCAAATATTCTTGTTTGCTTCCATATTTTGTCTTAGGTTTTTCATATTTACAGCCAGTGTATCAATATTCGCAACTATGTATCCCATTCTGAAAGGAACTACATTAGAAAATGCTGCTTTAACTCTTACCAATGAATTGACTTTCATCTGGATCTCACGAATGCTTTCTTGTACGTAAAACAGTAATTTATCTTTTATAAAACTAGTGTCCATAACCCCTCCCATTGATCTTCGACCGCTTATTTCAGCGTTACATTTCAAATCTGATTTGGAACCAGTTGAATCGCAGTCGTTTACAATTTCGTTATCATTAGTTTCGTTCACAATTGATGGGGTTTCTTCTGTAGTAATGTCGGCGTTCCTTTTGTATCTATGACCGAGTACGTTTTTAATAGTAGGATTTCGTTTGAGCGTAGCTTTTATGACTTCAGCTACGTAATTTATCTTTTTAGCTAGAATTGACAAAGCACGTAACAAATTTTTGTGTGCCCAGTTGTAATGAGCAGTTAGTAGTTCCAATACTTTTTGTTGCTTTATGTTATCGACAGCAACACCCTTTGGATTGTGATAACCGGTCAGTGGCGAATCAGATGCGTTACACGCAACTATAAATATAACTGAAACAAAAATTACACGTGTATATTTATGTGGTATGAACCCGCTATAGCTGACAGCTAGCTGCACCTGTTATACAGCTACCAGCTGTGTAATTCATCTGCTAGATCTATCATACATATAATAGATGTAGTACGAATTTGTTAGTTCGATCTAGGTAGGACCACGCTCTCACGGAATACCAACGTAAAATAGCATCTTTCACTAGTAACAAGGTATTCTATATAGGCACCCAGATTGACAACTTTGTGCCAAATCCGATCGAAGGCCTTCGCTATATCCAAACTAACGGACATCGCCTCCCCCTTGGACTCTACTGCCTCTTCCCATTCATGAGTTAGGTAACCCAGAAGATAACCAGCCGAGCGACCCCGACGATAACCGTACTGGTGCTCAACAATCAGTTGTGCTAACTGCTAAACTGTGTAATCATCTAGTGTTAACAATTTAATTGCTATCAATGTTGAGAAAAAATAACAATTAATCTAATACTCTAAACGTGTTTTTTAACGCTGGCCACAATCCACCTGATAGTAAATAGATGCTGTGGCACTGCTGTGTGCTGTGGCAATTTATAACCTGGGTCCGAAAGAATTCATTAGAGAAAAAATTAAAGAAATATATATATTAACTTTGGTCTCTCAGTATATTTAAGAAAATTTAATGTATTTACAAAACAAAAATAGCATTATTAAAAATAGTGATGTATATACTGTAGAAACTAGGAACAAGTACAATTTAGTTATACTAGTTACTCGATTCCAGAGAGTCAGTAATTACTTCATGGGGCAATATATACGCTTTCAAAACAAAGTTCCAAAAATATGCAGAATTTATCTATCAAAAGTTTTAAAATATTAATTAAGGAAAAATTGTTTAATAGGGCTTATTATACTACAAAATAGTGCATGCTTGATAATAACCCCTGGGATTGAGATGATCGCTACTATGCTATTTTAAACGTTTTCGTAACAATTGTATAAATATTATGTGTAAGCTATACTTTAAAACAAGTCCCACACGTGGGGCTGATTTTTACGAACTAGCGGTAAAAGTAAAAAATTACTTTCAATAAGAATTACATGTAATCCATATTGAACAGGTGGTTAAATTAAAAAAATTGTACATCCGACTTCAATACGACCGAATCAATGTATTCGAAGTCAATTAAATATGCATTATTAAGGTAAACTCATAAACTGCTGGTCAGATCTTGATCAATTTTATATGGGACCACATGAGAAGCACTAGTTTTCAGATAAAAAAAGAATCATTAAAATCGGTTTACCTAGAAAAACGTTCTGAGATAGCACACATAAAGCTAAACATACATTTGAATTAAATACCTCCTCCTTTTTGAAGTCGGTTAATAAAAATGATTCTATTCTATTTTGTGTCTTAGCAAAAAGATTGTTAGATTTATGTACGAAGTTACAAACTTCATAGATATAGAAAGATGGTAGTGGCAAAAAGCTTAGGCCACTAAATAGTGGTTTACAGGATTTATCCAGTGCAGTTCCACCATAGACACACAGAAAATAGACTGTGCGTTCCGTATTCACTTGTGCTGTGAATACAAACCGAAAGTGAGAGGGAGACAAAGCAATGTGAGTCAGTAGTCCTTTCTAGAATTCTTATTGGTCCATGACACTGGCGGTCAGGAGTGTATAGTTCTGCGCTGCATATACAAAGAACAACCATGTCATAGAGACAGGTATTGGCCGCACAGTAGGGATGTCAATTCTTTCCTAAAAAGGTCGATTTTTATATCGATTCGAATCGTAATCTGATGAATCGATTCACAAAAAATCGAGGTATGAAAGATCGATTTCTCAAAAATCCATCTTGTTTCGATTTGCTTTCAGTATTTATATTTACAATATCAAAAGATACAATAAAGTACAGATTACAAATGTAACTTTTTTATTTCTTTAATCCGTTAAGAATAGACGAAAGAAACAGCACACAGCAATTTGGCGAGTTTTTGAATAGACTGTCATTTTTTACGAGTTTGGGTACATTTAACTAATTGTAAATAATTTTATATTTCTTATAAAAACAGAAAAAGATTCGATCCCAATTTTTTAGAGTGAAATATCGATTCACTGGATCGATTCAGTACTATATACTGATTTAAAAATCGATCTTTTTGGTACATGAAATCGATTCTTCGATTAATCAATCTCAGATCGACATGCCTACCGCACAGTCAACTTGTCTCTTTCTAGGGAATGGCCACTTTTGTGAGGCTAATGGACGTCACACACGGTCAGTTAAAATTATCAGTTGAACTGACGTACATCAAAAACTGACCGTGAGTGTGGAATCTTAAGTTGAAATTTTAAACTGACGACAACCAACGGATTTTTTCGGTCGCACTGTCAGTTCAAACTGCTCAGTGGAACTAACGTAAATCCAAGAACTGATCAAGAGTGCGAAATTTTATGTCGAAATTTTTCACAAACTAATCCGCGGGCTTCAGTTCGTTTTAATTACTGGTAGCTACATACACTATTTCTATACTATTAAAATTTTTTTGTTAATGTAATTTTTGTATTATAATTAGTAATTGTAATTGCAAATGTGTAATTGTTAATGTATTATAATTACGTGTCACGTTGTTTGTCCGCGATGAACTCCTAAAACTACTTAAGCGATTTTAATCAAATTTGCACACCGTGTACAGTTTGGTCCAACTTGAGAGATAGGATAGCTTTTTTGCCCACAATTTTTTTTGTGCGAATTTAAGGATTTTTAATAGGACGACAAATTTTCGTCGAAAAGGGTAGAACAACGTTTGCCTGGCAAGCTAGCTATTTTATATATTTAGAGAATTTCGTTTGACGGAGGATGAACATCGTGTTTTTTGTTTTCAAAAAGGTTCATGAAGACCTAGATGACTATGATGATATCACCTAGCTGACGGTGGACTCCGAAGGTGGGTATAGGATCTCAGTGATGTCACTAGATAGGACGATCGTGTTTGAACTCATTTGAAAGGACTAATAAAGACCTAGATGACTGTTATGATCTCACCTTTCTGATGGCGCAATTTAAAGGTGTGTATAGGATCACGGTGACGCCACTATTTTAATTTTTTTATTATTATTAATTTGTAGGAGTGACACTTCTAAAAAATGTATGATCCGAAAGGGGGAGAAAACACAAGAAAAATAAAGAAAACTAAACTAAATATAGTGTATGTGTTATGTAACTTAATACAATACGAAAAATTTATTATTTTATAAAACTCAACATATTTGATTGTCAAACAAATCAAATAATTATTTTATTATTTCTTAGACTTTTTTTAAAAAACGTTCCCCCCACACTAGGATTTTCTCCTGTATCGTGGAGGCAATTTACAAACATAAATTGCACAAGGACAAACATCCAGACCCGGAACACCCAGAGGGGTGGGCAGAGACTACAGACTACAATTTAGCACGATCCTGGCACACCTCTATCGCCTCTTCCACATACATATACCTACACATACATGCTCGTCGGTTAAGGATACTCCTAATGTAGCCCATGTTCAATATATCGCCAATTTGGTCAACAAACTTTCGCCTAGGACGTCCCTTTCTGACTCTTCCATTCACTTCTGCAACATATATTTGCTTTGTCAGTCTTTCCGCATTCATTCTTTCTACATGACCAAACCACCGAAGCATTCCTTTCTTAATCCTGGTCACCGCATCATCTTGCAAACCACACTCTTCTTTTATCACACAGTTTCTCACCCTGTCACTCAGATTCAGCCCTAACATACTCCTTAGCGACCGCATTTCTACTGTATTTATTCTACTCTCGTGCTTCTTCTGCCAACCCAACTTTCACTACCATACGTTAAAGTAGGGACTAATACAGCAGTGTGTTCACAATTCAAAATTATTTGTAGACCATACAAACACTTGTTCCGTACTCTCATCGCTAAGCGACTGCGCCACGGAGCTTGTTTATTATTCATTTTTATACAATCTTATGCTGGGGCTATACTAACGAGAAATGCCGTTAATTTTCGCGTTAATGGACCTTGAATGTAGGTGTGGCCACAACTTAACGCGTAATTTGACAATGATAGATATTAACAATGCTGTTTGCCGTTTATATGATATATAACTCGAGAAGCGATACATCAAAGAGATTAACGTATGAAATAACAGTTGAAGCGGCCACACTACGTTTTTCTGACTGTGCACGATGAACGCAACAAGGTACCGCACGTATTGCTATAATGGAGCGGAATAGTAAAAAAGTTATTATGTTTCTTGAGATTCTGAAAACAGCGCCATGTTTGTGGGATCCGGGACGAAAGTTTTAAGAATCGTGCAGCGCAAAATGACTCTTTGCAACTAATTATCCAATTATTATCTTTTTATACAACTATCGAAGAATTGGAAAGGTGAAGGAAAACCTTATGGGTTTTCTATAGAACCATAAGGAATCATATAAAAAGTCTTCAAGGAACACTAATGCCAACTTTAACGGCGTTCAATGACATTGAAATTTAATGACGTGGAGCGTTTAAAGCAATACTTGTTGCGTTTTTATGCATTGACGTTTCTCGTTAGTGTAGCACCAGCATTAGCGCGTTTGCTCGATGCTCGACGCAGGGGCGGAGCCAGCGCGATATTTTTTTCAATAAAAAGTTTAAACTTTTTATTTTGTCTCGTAAATCATTTAATCTACTACTACCTAATCTTCTGCACTTTATTTCATTCTATTAATTTTTCCCCAGGTTATTTATTTGCTAATAAATGTTTGTAAACTCTTAAAAAGAAATGTAATTTTGTATAGTATATCTCCGTGGTATTAATATTACTATAATCTACGAAATTTATAACTATTTACACTACTAACTGTGTGTTTTGACGGGAACTTGACCGTCGACGGATTTTTGCTTCTGTTTCATCGTTTAAACAATCGTTTGAACTTTGAAGTGGATTTTGATTCGTAAAAGTCATGCGATCTTGTGATTTCAGTATCTGCGCGTGTA